ATATTTACTTTTATATTCCTCGTTGACAGTCAATTGACAGCTGTCAACTGTCAATTTTGCCAATCTGGCATGAGAATTGAATTCAGCTCCCTCAAAAGCCCAAACTCTCAATGTGAAAAGAGAATATTTACTTTTCTATTCTTCGTTGACAGTGTATTGACAGCTGTCAACGGTCAATTTGTCCAATCTGACATGAGGGTTGAATCCAGTGACCTCAAAAACATTACCCTATATATTAGAATAATTAAAATATGCTTTTGACATCTGTAAATAGTATTGAAAATGAATAGTTTTGCAACGGGTCAGGGGAGCTTTGGCAGCTCCGTAGCTGCCAAAATGTTCATTTTGGCACTTTGTGCCCATGGAGACTTTTGTTCAGGATGACAAAATCTACAACATATCAAAAATTCAGACAATTTGACAGAAACCCAATTTCCATAAGATTATTGCGGGGTCCTTTGCAATCACGGGCGTCCCATTTAAAATGTCGCTCAGAGATATTCAAGACCGCGTGAAATCAATGAAATATCAGTGGTGGGGGAGCAAACACACATATACTTCGATCTGAATTCTCGAGTTCAAAAATGCATTGAGTATTGCACCCATTGCCCAGGGCAAATGTGTAAAAATACTTACAAAACAGTGGAAGTAGACGAGTTCGAAATCGATTTTGAAGAAGACATGGCAGAAGAAAGTGCAAGCGAACTCGACGATCAGATTTCAGAGTCGTTAGAAAATGATATTTTGCAGTTGCAGGACGAGGAAATCGACGACGAAATAGATTGTGATAATACTGATGAGGCATGTGAAAAATCACCAACTAGTAAAAGAATTAGATTAGATTAAATATAAATAAAAATTGAAATAAATAGTTTAAAATTTGAAAAATCATGAAAAGTGTGTACTGTTTATTGAAGTATCCAAAAGATTCTTATACTTTTTTTATATAAATAAAAAATAATTTTTAGATAAATATTTTAAGAATAAACGAAAAAATTAAAATTTATTTTTTTTGAAAGATTTTTAGAAATTTATTGTACAACTAAAAATTAATACTAATTTTCAGTTGTTTATTTAAATAATTATTGATTAAACAATTTTATAATATTTAAACAAACTTACTAGTATTACCTGGTGCAACATGCAAAAATTTTGGTCGTGAATATTAACATAGTAAATAAATAAACATAATAAATTAATCATTTTTTAAAGTAACTGTTTATCTGTATGTCAAAAGTCCCATATGATAAATGAATTTTTTAAGTAGAGAGACATCAATTTAAAAAAAAATCATCGAAATTGGTCCATTAGAAGCTGAGATAAGTGAAATTTTTCCGAGCGTCGCAGTTTTGAACTCGAGAATTCAGATCGGAGTAGCTGTGTGTTTGCTCCCCCCACCACTGATATCTCATCTCGTTGATTTCACGCGGTCTTGAATATCTTTGAGTGACATTTTAAATGGTACGCCCGTGATTGCAAATTTTGAAAATTTATATCTGGAAAGTACTCGGAATGACAAACCTATTAGTTAAAAAAAACAGCGCGTATACTCTTATAGTTTTGCTGTAAATAAGGGTTAACTTTAACGGGCTATAACCGAAATTAATGGGCGGATCATCAGTTTTTTTTTAATACAACGTCTTTCCGAGTATTTTCAAACCATATTTTAGAATTAAAAAAATTTGAAAAATCGTTAAATTATTGCAATTAATTGTTTATAAGCGTAAAAAATGGGAAAATGTTTAAACAATCACCACGGCTCACCTAATCGTCCGATTTGAATTTTTCAAAAACCATTTTAAAGCTTGATAGCTGTTCTTTTTGTGGCGAAATTTTCAAGTATTCAAGGGCTTTAGATTTTTAGAAATTTGATTTTGAATATTTTTTAATTTAAAAAAAAAATAAAAAATTTAAACAATTATTATGCAAAAACTATAGAACCGAATTGGATAAAATTTGGTGTGATGATTCTATG